GTCATCCAGAAAAAATTTTAATCCATGAAAAGGGATGCATTTTATGTGTTATATCAATTTTGATCCCAAAACTATTAGCAAATGGAAATATTGGGGGTACAATGTCTCCGTATGTTCATGAGATGGGCGTGTCAGGCACCGCACTCGTGGTAGGTAAATGTTCATGATTACTGTCTTGTGGATCATTGCCTATCACTGTATTATTGTCACTATCAACTTCATCCAATTCAGGAATCATTATTTCATCGCCATCATCATCAGAAAAAATCTCGTTCACAACATTTTCCAGCTGGTCTGTAGGAAAACGAAGACACTTGCTGCAAGAAGCTATGGTGAAACTGAATGAATGTGAAATATTTTCTGACCTTTACCTTCTCAGAGGGTTCTGACAGTAATATAGACCCCCACAAAGTTTACAAGGGTTCTTTACAAACATGCACAAAACTATCATATATATGTCTTTGGTTGATGAGTGCCAAGAGAGCAAAGAAGGGACGAGATTGTCAAAGCGTTAAAACACGCCAACGCCAGGGAATGGCTGGCATCGTCCGGGCGTTAAAACACGCCCGCGCCAAAGAGTTAAGAACACAAGAAAACTAAGAAAACCTGAAGAGTAGGGAGTTCTCCAACACTCCCCAATTTTATCCAAAATTTAGGTCACTCACATTAAAAGTTTTACAACTATACATGTTCCTTCTTTGAAAGACATGTCTGAAACGATTTTTTAGAGTCCAGGAATCCAAAACAGCATGTTTGTACAGGAATAATAACAGCCATACCATTTTTTTCACCCTATACAACATAAAAGAAATATGACAGATATAACAGCACATATCCAGAGTATCTGAAACAGCAGTATCCAAAGGAGCAGCAAAGCAAAATTATGATTATGAAATTCAATAAGGCAATAATATAACTAATTTCTAAATGGTATAAAGTAACAACCTTCCCACCACCAAAATTATTCAGTGTCAAAGCAGCCAGAATTCTCATACAGCTATGAAAATTTCAGGGAAAATTTACAGATTTTATGATGTTACTTTGAAAACAAAGTTGTGACATGCATATGTTTGCTTGCCCTGTGGTAGTTACGTCTGCCAATACTAACAGCATCACCAACCATCCTCCTTCGTGCAGGTGCCATTACAGCATAAGCTAGATTAATATGGGGCTGTATTACAGTATTTCTGAAATCTCACCTACCACAAGCTGCTATGTCACCTAGGAACACTCCCAGACAAGCAGTAAAGTGAAAATATGTTCTTTGTATTGGGTTCTTGTCTTTTCATAGTAGACTGCTCTGAATCAATTCTTCTGTGACATACTTTAACACGCTGTCAGTATGCAGACCATAAGTGTCAAATGGTTGGTGGAATGAAGAACTGGAAAGGAAGTGGGTACAGCAGTCATAGCCTAACCAAAGCACTGTCTCAGCATTTGTATGGTAGGCTTGGGAAAAACTACGAAAAACTTCAGTCAGGCCAGCCGGTGTTCCGCCTGAGATTCAAACCAAGCACCTCCCAAATGCAAGCCTAGAATGTTATCGCTACACTAACCTGTTGCATAAAAAATGGCAAACCTATCTCTGTAACATGCTGTGCAGGCCCATAGGTTTGTGAAACGTCAAGGCACCCATATTTTCTAGGACAATCAGCTCAGAGATGAAGTTGTCAGCCTTATATGCCGGCAGCTATTTACCCCCAGGAAGATTCCTGGTACTCATTTCTGTTACAGCCTGTGTCGAACCCAGGCCAACACTGTGGCTGGATGGATCAGGTCAACTGAATATTCCAATGACCTCACCGGGAACTGAACCCGCGACCTTCCGGCTTGTAGCGTGGTGCCTCAACCCACTACACTACCGTGTTCCCTAAGTTGCTGGGCTGACATCAGGAAGCTGCCATTCTCCACTTATGCTATTCAGCTAACCTCAACCAGAATTACACATAAAATATTATTTCGGTAATGTGAATCCAACATTTATGTCAATATAAACTGCTTTTTCTTTTATAACGCCTCAAATGTCAAGCAATTCAGTTTTCTACATATTCGATTACTTCGATAAGCGCGAAATACACTTCACCCAGTGTAAAACTCATACTGTTGTTAGTAATCCATAAATCATACTAGTTCTAATGCATGAAATATAAGGCAATGGACAAAACTCACTCTTCCGCATTAGACGTGATAATATCTCCAACATTTCCGCCGAACTCCATAGCAATTTCATTAGCAATATGCGCCATCTTACCACGCACCGAACGTGAACGTATGTTCTCTGCTTTAATTGTGGTAAAAGGTGTTTGGCATGTATCGTTGCCCGGCTACGCATGCACGCAAATGGCGTTGCGGTTGCAAGTTTCATTTGTGAGTCTTTCAAAAATCGTGAGGTGACTGCTGTGATCGAATAAGATATTTATAAGACTGTGCTACAGAGGGTCGGGTAGGCATTGCCTAGACCTTTAAATATATACCTTTATTTCCCCCCCCCAAAAAGAAACAACGTATAATTCTAGGATGCCACCCAACAGAAAGATTGTTGAACTGTGTGAGTTGATTCTTGGCGGTACCCGTGGTTCTCATCTCTAGTTAGCTATTTAGTAATCCGTGATCCGAAGGTTACGATGATGGCTGGCGTGGAAAGTAGTTAAGGTATTGAAGTGTTGTTTAATTGTAACGTGGCCCTTGAAGTTTAACAGTACTGGTTCAGTTTCATATTTTATTCTCTATAGTCTTACTGTTTAACTTGTACAGGTTTTGCATTCGTAGGTCTGTGTGTGTGCAGAATGTTATAAATTCACTTGCACCAATTTTACACCATTGTGCCGGCAGCGCAAGTATTAGGAAGTTCTAATCAAGTAGGAGTAGGAATTTTCTCAAAATACATTTTGTGCATCATCGTGTCGTACAAACTGACATGTACATCTCACTTTTATGGAGTTACACCTGTAGAGAAGATGTGTTGGTTAACAGCACATATGACAGTGTTGCATTCAGGTGTCAAAAGTGTCCGTCCATATAATTAAGCCAGCAATTCTGCGACATTGCCATGCAACTAATTGAGCATTTCTTCTCAATGATTTAAAATCCGAAATCTGGGGATCTTCCATGTGTAGATATTTTAGTACAGTTGTGGGACCAAGCTAGCAACAGCCATGGGTAACAAAAATAGCTGCTGTGCACATTCAAGCCCTCCACCAGGCCGGAAAGATGTGCCACATTATGAGGAATATTTGCCGAAAGAACAAGAAAGTGTTGGTAATTTACAACATATTAGTGAAAGAGAACCAGAAGATTGGGATGCAGACCCATCATTGCATCCTAAAGCAGGGACCATCTTCATGGAGAGATCAAAAGTTTCGTTAGAAAGTGAGTATCTTAACTTAAGCATTTGTTGAGTATTGTGGAAGATTATTGTGGTCTTTCTTTAGTAATAACCCCTCCTTGTAGGGATTTGAGGCTACTGAAGTGATTGTTCTTTATTTCCAGATGGATTGGTGAGGAAGAGGAGCCAGAATCATGTATGTAATGTAACTTGTGAAATCAGTCTGTATGAAAAATTTTGAAGTTGGAAAACATTTTATTTTGTTGTCTGCGATATGACTGATTGACAATAGCACGCATTTTTATTGTCATACTATCAGTGAAACCAAAATTTTAAAAACCAGTGTGACTTATAATTGTCTTTCAAATTCCTAGCAGTGGAAAGAATCCTCCATATTCAGTTTTATGCAGCCAAAGAAATAGAAGTTTGTAGTGTATGTGATGTTCCTTTAAGTTATAGTAGATAACAATTAGATCCTGTCACTTGATAATGATTTATGGGTAATTGAAGCTGCCGTATATAGTGACTGATACTCAGTGTGTTTTATTAGCACTTGGTGATAGTGTGTAAAATCTTGCCACAAGCTATCCTGAATATATTATTAATAGTTCTCCAGATGAAGTCAAAGCAAGAATGTTACAGAAAATTAATGGTCCAAAGTTCAGTGTTGTACTTCTAATGTCTGTTGCATCACAGGTCAAGAAAGAAAAGAAAACTTGGACTCTGTACAGTAATCTTATTGAATATTAATGCTGTGCCTCCCATAGTTAATAAAGTTGAATCAGTTGTTATAGAAACATAGCAGTTGATATTTAAACATGTGCCTAATGTAGTGCTTTTTGGTCTGCAGCATTTACCTCACTTGTCAGCACATAAGATTTATGAATGTTCTGGTGCAGTCAGCTGTGTCTCTGTACAGTAACTGTTGCATATTAGGAAGACCTTTCTTCATTTGCCCATAGACCAATATATTTCATACTGATTTGCAGACTGAGGAATTAGGCTAACTTAATTTTATGATGTAATACACTTAGTCAAAATGCATTTTTGAATTTATCTCTGGTTAATAACCCTGTGGACCATAATTCTGTATCACTAAAAACATGATCATTCTGATTATGTGTCTTTCCATTAGGAAAATTCCAAGAATGTCTATAAAAGTTGTGAGGTTGATATGTTGCACTCTTGACAAGTATGGCAGATTTTTTGTCATGAAATAGTGTGTTCTAAGCCCTCTATCATTCATGACAGATTGTAATTTTAAAAGTATATTTTCATCCAAATTTTTCATTGAGGTTTTCCAAGAAGATTTTCATGTGGTACTTTGGTGGAAATTGGTGCAGTACATGTTCTAGTTTGTTAGAAAACCTCTTATCTTTTTCATGATTTGTATCCTTAGAACAATAATATTCACACCAGAATTCTTATATATCATGTTCTACCACAAACAGGCACTGACCTCTGAACTGCTAGGCAGAATTCCTGAAGTTTGAAAAATCCATACCCAGAGTAATTATTATTATCATTCCATTTTCCATACAAAATGTACACTTATCTACCGGTCCAGTGTGAACTTGTCCTGCCATACCTGTATTGTTATTAATTTTAAAATACACTTCATTACTTCTCTTATTATTTTATGTCCCTTTTAAGTTTCCTGGGCCATGCTGAAGAATCTATTCAAGTTTTGAGGTCCAGTGTAACAATTTGTAACATGGTTGTTTACACACACACACACACGCGCGCGCGCGCGCCCATATGTGATGAATGGGTTGTAGCCCCTTTGCCAGCTTTCAAAGTGGAGGACCATACTGAAATCCCCCACCCCCTCATTACCCCTTCACGGCGTTGTGCTTAATAAATACAGGAACAGATTTACCTTTTGGTCATTACATATCAAGCACAGCAGCTGTTACTGGATTGGTAGTTCTCATGTTATACGTATAAATCGTATTTTCTTTCTGAATGTATGTGGTAACAGAATGAACATGTTGCAGATGGGCCAGCATTTCCCATTTCTACTGTTTTACTTTGTCTGGTTGGTATGGTCCAAGCACTGTATGTTCCTCTGTGTGCATTTTCTTGCTTCATTTGTTGAACAAGATAAAACGAATTCTGCCCCATTCCTTTCACAGATTTCAGTAGTTAGACCATGTAGCCTTCAGTCCAATCAGCATTTTCACTTCACAACATTTAACTTTGTCTGGAGACCTCAGAAAAGTCAATGTGAAACAAGTTTTAGATTGTTAGGTATAAAGTGCATATTTCAGTCTATAACATTCTTTTGCATTAGGTACAGCCAAGAAAGTAAGTTACTGATAAAGCTAATGTTTTGTTAAGGAGGATATTTTGACTGTTTAAAGTATTCACACTTGTACAAAGGACATATGCAGAAACTTTAAATTTGTGGCATGTGAATAGGTAATTTTGAGCAAGTCAGTTTATGGTTCCGGTTCTTGGTTTCCCTCATTTATTATATGTCTGAAGTATATTATAGCCAGGAGTGCAGAAAGGAGCCCAATGAAAAATACTGTCTGCAGACAAACAGAGGCAGCAGCACTCATCAGAAGTCAGTATTTGAGAAAGCATATGTGAAATAAAAGTAAATTCTGTTTTTTCTAATTCTTTGGAGTTTCAAAGTTATGCTCAGTCAGAAATTTGATGACTGTATTTTGGTGAGGTCTCTTATGTACCTATTTTGTATTGATACAGTAGGACATTCTGCGCATATTTATTTATACAGTTCTTTTTGCCACTCAGGATGTGTAAATGAAATTGCAGTAATGTATATTTTACTTTGTAGCTTGTAGATGTGCGGCCATTGAAGAAGAGTAGCTCATGTTCAACGATCTACCTGGATGACAGTACAGTTTCACAACCAAATCTGAAGAACACTGTCAAATGTGTAGCACTTGCAATTTACTACCACATTAAAAATCGAACTTCCCATCGACAACTTGATATCTTTGATGAAAAACTTCATCCACTAACGGTAAGATGTTATAGAAAATTTGTTTAATGATTCTGTTAATCCAGCTGTCTTTGCATGCATGCTGCAACCAGGGAGGCTGGCTTAGCACTAATGCCCTCGGCTCGTTTCAGCCTTGACCAGAACACTTGCTGTCTTTTGACCAAGGTTTCTTGTGCTTTTCCTCTCAATGAGGCCTTGACAATTTCCAAATCCTTTTCAGTTCATTTGTCACCCTACCATTTGATGCTTTATAGTCCAGCTGTTGATAACATCATGAAGTAACACAAGAAAAATGTCAGTCTTCAGTATTTTGTTGTGTTTGAAAGAAGTAAGCAGGCTGAAATTCAGTTAACCCGTGGCATAAGTTATGGAAAAGATCAACCAAGTAAACTCTAATTTAAGAATGCCCATATGTATTGATCTGTGATTAACTTAAAATTAAAAATCTACTTTGTAAGGACACAAGTTACTTCAGTTTTCAACATAACACATCTGTGACAAATTTATTTGTTCATTGTTTGTTAACAGTACCGTCAGTAATTCGGCTATATAGGATTACGTAAATGATGATAATGGTTCGTGGATGATGATTGGAAAGGATATGAAAAGAAGCTGTCATGGCCTAATTCCAGGTACTGTCTCGGGACTGAGAGAACCCGTGAAATACCTGTCAGGAAAGCCAGGAGTTGAACCCAAGACCTGTTAAATTTGAGGCAGAATTGCTACCCACTCAATTGTGATGTTCATTTCCTGTGGTGCTGACTGACTGTGGAGTACAGAATGGATTATCATGGATCATTCTAGTATGTACTTGAAGATGGCGTTTAAGGCCTTCAACTCACAAATCTGGATGTAACATATGTGAAGTTTCCAGTCCACAAAGAAAAGATGAAGTGGTAGCCTTTGAGTTTTGCTTCTATAAACAGCTTAAAATTGTATTGCCAATATATTTAAATTCTGTGCATATCTGTATACTTATAAGTTGAAAACAGCTAAATTTCACCTGCGTTCTCTTATTGACCTACATTAATGACTGACTCATTAAATCTTCTCATTCATGATGACTGAAAAATCAAGGCTGACAATTGAAAGTATCATATACTTTGTTTGTTAATGTTCTGGCATGCCCTTCTTTTTTATTTCTCTGAATATGTTGAGCAGTAAATTTGTAACTGGTGTGGGTATAGAGGCATTTGTTAACCTTTATCAGCCGGGCCATTTAATTTCCGGTAGGGGCAGCTGGACGGAGTTTATTTAAATGCCCGCCCTTCTAGAGCAATGAAATTGTAAGCATGTTTCTAAAAATGATGTGATTTCTACATTTTTTATGATAAATGAACGAAATGAACGCTCCTTTAATGTAGAAAGAATATAGAATCAGATATTCTAATTTACAGATTTTAATATCTGTAAAAAATTTTTACACTGATTCCCAAAATGAAATTTCCCGAAATTCATACATTTTCTGCACCATGCGTTCTAGCAGTGTAATACATTTTCTGCACCATGCGTTTTAGCAGTGTAAGTCCTTGTGGCGACTTCACATTCAATGGTATCTCTTGTTGTAGCTTATTTATCGTATGGGACATGTCGCTATGCACGACTGT